AACTGAGATACTATTTTGAGTGAAGGCCAAAGTGACTGGATTTGAAAGAAAAAGCTAAGGTGATTTCTGTCCACAGAGCGTTGCGTCTTAAGTGGGATCAAGAAACAGGGTTAGGAAAAGTTTTTTAGTGGATTTTGCAGTCAACAGTTTGTTTTCTTAATAAGTTGATATTTCATGTTATTGGGTAAATTTAGCAAAAATTCAGTATTTGATCAAATAAATCTTCTAACCTTGACAGATTTGTTATCCAGAACTAATAATGATGGCTCTAAGTATTGAAGACTTACTATGTGTCAGACAATTGGCATGTGCAATTTCATTTCTCCCAAGAATTTCATGAAGTAGGGTCTCAGAAAATAATTGCATAGGATTTTAGTTATATTTCTTGATCACTTAATATGTGTGTTAAGTAGTTTACATAATTATCTAATTTCATCCTCACAATAACCATATGAAGAAAGTACAATTATTAGTACTATTTTAAACATGAATAAACTGATTTTAGGAGATTAAGGAAGTAGCCTACATTCTCACACAACATAAATGTTGGAAAGAGGACTCAAATCTGAGGTTTTTGTTTTTTTGTTTTTGTTTTCTGAAATATACATTCAAACCTACTGAGCTTATGAGAGTGTATAGAAAACTTGACATGTAAAGAGTAAAGAGTAAAACTTGACATGTTTGTTGGAAGCTATCCTCTAACAGAAGGGAAAGACAAATACTGGCAAAGTACTAAGGAAGAAGAATACAAGCAAGTGTGTATGTAGATTTGCTGTGGTGTGTGATGGTAGCATAACCCTGCCAGTCAGGGTTCCTAAAAATAACCAGTGTTGGAGGTAAGGATATATAAACGAGAAATGACAAAAGGCCTAGACCCAATAGAAATTGCATCCCCATTAGCAACCTGAGGTTCATTGGTTCATGCGTTTACTCATTTACATAATCATCATGCAGCTATGTGACAGGTCCTGTGCTTTATGCTGCAGCTATTTATGAAGCAAACTATATGATCCACGGTTGCTCTGGAAGTGGCAAGAAACCATGGGAACCTGAGGCTTTGATCTCCATTACCATCACCATTTTTCCAGAGTCCAATAGTAGTGTAATATGGTAAAACAATGATATTCAGAGATCATTTTCATCTACTATGTAATAATTACTTATAATAGGAATAAGATTAGTGCAGCATCTATCATATTCTATGTGACTAAGGAATGGAATCCAAACAACAAAGAGTAAACATATCTGCATAGACTTGCATGAGGTAATAGTGGGGCTGTGGCTCTAGTTCACCTCTCTTATTTTATATAACAGTTATCACACTTCTACAATGTCTTAATATATTTGTGTCTCTGTGCCTTTTTAAAGGCTGAACGTTACTTGAGAATATGGATGTATCTAAAAATCTTTATTTTCTCAGTATCTATCACCATTTTTTTGCATTTCATGAAAATCCATGTATTGTTCATTGGGTGGAATTGTGTTTATTCTAAAGATGTCAATGCTTTGATATCCGTGATTCAGTAATTTTTTATGTCACGTGGGGAATGTATAAACATTTATTCATTCTGGAGTTCATTGTGATCATATCTTTATGAAATTACAAAGTTGATAAAGAGCAAAAATTTTTTCAGAGACATTATTACTTAATATTCTAATTTAAAAACATTAAAAATTAAGTAACATTAAAACATGATATCATATGTTATTCATGAAAAGTATCTTTTTTTTTTCAGGAGTTAAAATTACCTCATACAATCAAATTATTTCATCATGTAGGCATGAGCGTGCTACATAACTAAAGGGGAAATAGTAAAATTAACAAAAGTTTGGAGAGAAAGATATGTAAAATATTCAAAGTTTATGACATCATAACTTTAAGTACCAATTTTATTTTCTGTGACCTTTGGGTTACTCTCTTCACCTAGCAGCCATATAGTTCCAAGAAGGCTAATACCCTGAATAGTACAGGACAATGTGTGGTATCCATTTGATTTTCTGTCCACCATAGAATCATATCAGCTGACATCACATAACCACCAAGTTCAGAAAAATCAAGCATCTAAAGAGAAACTCATCTGGGAAAACTGTGAAATTCCATTTATTGTATTGATCCTCTGAGTCTAAAAAAATTCCAGGGCTCTCGCTTCTTTAGTCATCAAAGTAGAGAGGACACTCTAAGTGATGGTTAGGACCAGCTGGAATAACAGGAACAACCATACAGCTGTCTAGACCCTGAACTATCAGGAACACAAAACATTACCAAGGGGCTCAAACATCACAGGAATTATTATTGGTTAAGAAAAAATATATACTCTCCAGGAAGAGAACTTCATTATTTGGAAATCATATATTGAAAAACTGATTGGGATTAGAGTGGGACCATCAAAGCAAATTCACATAAAAGTGAATTATCTAAAAACCCTCTCCCAGACAAAACTGGGATCCATTCACAACACAATTTTGATTTTTTTCTGAATGAGGATGCACAAGATTATGGCAAGATGTGACTTATGGCAGATATTCATTGGCTCTTCACCACTCAATAAACAACCTCTCTAAATAAATGTGGAAAAAATACTGAAAGAATATTGTGCTGGTCCACTGGTTTGAAAAGGCACCAAATTTTCAAGAATGTCACTGCCCAGATTTCTGCATTTTTTATTAAAAAGGAGTTATTCCTAGTTCTTCTATCTCATCTTTTCCATTAAAATCTCTGCTAAGGAGCTGAAGAATTTCTTCTCTTAGGAGTCCTAGGCAGAATGTAGACCATGCTATCCTACTGATGAAAGAAAAAAACACCGGAGCCTCTCAAATCTCTCTCTTATACTCCTACGCTGGCTCTTGTGATTCCGTGTTTTAAATGTTCACCAGTTAAGTTTGCAATATTGACTTACCCATGCTAATAACTGTTCACTCTTCTATGACTTCACCATATGCTGTTGTAGACATGGGATGCTTATTTTTAAAAGAACTCATGCTGGATGGCATCATTTAATCTTATATTTTAAAAAAGCTTGGGTACTACTGAAGTAGTCAAATGACACTATTTTCTTAGGTTGGAAACTAAAGACCCACAGAATACATATAAGCCTGGGATAGTTCACCTAGCTGACTCGAAATTTTTGGAATGCCAATTAGGATTCACATGTATCTAAGAGTCAGCATTTATGATTCTAGAGATGTTAATAGGCTACCACTATGCAGTGTATGCCACTAAAATATTCTTCTCTTAAGCACCTCCCAGCAGAATTTCTTTCACCCTGGATCTTTAGATATTTATTATCAGAGGCTTGTTTTTCTGTCTTTGAAGTTGTTTTTTTTTTTTTTTTTTTTCTCTGCAGTTTGCAGCACCTTAATAATGTGAAAGACTTCTAGGGAAGCACTGAAGCAAAGAAAAGCTTCATGGAGCCATACTGCGAGAATGAAAGCCTATCACATTAATTCAGCCTTCCCTCACTGCCCTCCTCCTATCAAATAGAAGGTTATAAAAAGCAAACAAGAAATTCAGATGCAAGCATACATACATACATATTCAAGGAGCCTGAGATTTTGTAGTTTTTTTCTTTTTTTTTCTTACTGTTACACATGCTGAACAAAAACTTCTATAAAGCTGCTGAAGCTTTCTGACATCATCTAGTCTTTTCTGTGAGTCATTAAGTTGCTGAAGCCCAGAAAATCAAATTTAGTTTAGGGCTGTTTGATAATGTAGTAACACAGCAAAATGTGATTAACCAATTAACTCATGTAATTGAATAATCAAAAATATTCTCTGAGTGAGTAGCAGACACACATTAGGCCGTTGTCATAATCATTCTGTATATGTGCTGATTATAAAACTACAATTACACCTCCAGTTGATACTACTACTTCCAAATTCCTCATAGAAGAGTATCTGCAAATACATGTTTGTAAGTCAGATAAATAAATCTATTCATTTACTCTTTTTCCATTCATCAATTCTCTCTTGCGAGGCTTGGGTGAAGGGTCTGATTGTCCAGTTCTTACTTCCATTAAGGTCTTAATCTGCAAGTACTTTGTTTACATTCTTCCAAGATGGAAACTAAACTGAAGTAGAACCTCCAAAAATTGTAGTTTTATAATTAAACTATTAGCCTCTCTGTTTGTTTACTAAATTCTAATGATGTTGCCAAGAGACAAATTAGAAAGAGAAAACAGCCAGTTTGAGAATTATCTTGCTCAGAGGTGTTGCCTGGCTAAGAAAAAACCTGTGATAGATAAAAATGGGAAATAAATATTTGTTGGATTACTTTAAAGCAACTCTCTATGATTCAACATTTGTTGAAATCTACGGTGCCTGACTGCATTTAAAATGTATTTATTTATTTCTGTAAATTCAAATCAATTCAAGGTTTGGTTGGATGGTTAAAACAGTCTCTAACAATTTCAAAACATATTCTGCTTTGCTCTTATTGTTGCCGAAGTACATGGGTGAGGTTACATTATCAGGGATTATGACAAATTATGTAAAAGAATATTGAAAATGAATTACCTGAGCTTAGACCAATAAAAGAGATTTCTTAGCAGACACAGACATTCTTAATGCTAATTTACTATAAAAAATAATGTGATTGTGCTGCCATTATCACTATTTTGAGGTCATATTTTAATGTTCAGTTATTAAATCTTTAAAGATATGAGAAAACTATTTCTTTTGTAATTATCATTGTTCCTAGATGATTTGTTATTTGTGAACTCTTAATTCATATTTTGTATTGTTATTCCTCCCTGCAAAAAAAAAAAATCACAAAATTCTAAGAGATATAATAATCTCTGCTTATTTTTAGTGTCTCATTTGTATATCTTAAAGTAGGTTGCATTAAATTTTATTTGCATGAAAATGTATAATTATAAATACCAATAAAATGTGGTTTATTCATAGCCAGAATGAAAAATTTGTTCCAAAACACTTTTTTAAATGTTGCTTCTCCTCCTCAATCTGTATTTAATGCTTTCCTCTCTCTTTTTCCTATTCATAGGTCAATGGGACAGAAATTGAATATGAATTTGAAGAAATTACACTGGAGAGGGTAAGAAACTAATTCAAAGCCCTAATTTTGCATTGCACATTCTAGGTACTCATTGGTTTCCTTGTGAAATTATACAGTGATGTACTATAAACTGGAAGTTTCCCACAGGACTCAAAATGGGAATATTAGTGAAATGCTTGCAGTAGAGAGAATGAGACAGCAGCCAAATAACCAAAATGTTCAGTATACAAAGTGCATTGCTTGAATTTAGAAAAATGAATGAAAAAAAAAAAAAACAGAAATATATCATGAGCTTATATAGTACTTTACTCTTAATATTTTCATTCTTAGTGTTTTGGCCACACATTCCTCAGACATGTTACAAGATCTTCTCATTTATGTGATATTGATATTATCAGAACTAGTAATCATGCATATTTTATTTAGCTTTAAAAAGAGTAATGAATATTAAAACCACCCCATTGGGGAAAAAAAAAAAACAACCTTGGAGAGCTGTTCAAATATGTTGGAAGGACCTTGAAAGAGGTTCCCATTAAAGGAAATTTGGTGCAAATCAAGCCTAATATATCTAGATATTTTACAAAACAATAAAAATTAAAGGGCATCCAGAGGGAAAAAAAGTGATCAAAAATAATTAACCGGACACTCACCATTAAAGGAAAGCAAATAAACATGAAAACCTATTCACCCTCATTAAGAACCAAGGAAAGACAAGGAGAGTAAACAGATTTTGTCTGTAACTGGCAAAAATTATGAAGAGTTGTTAATATCCAATGAATGAGCCTAGAAATTAATGCAATACTAAAGACCAAATTGAAAGTAAGAATCAAAAGCCTTGAAAATGGGCACCTTTGGATCCACAAATTATATTGATAGGAATGTACAAACACAAGAATGCTTTTATCATATCGGTATTGTTTATAATAGTGAAGCCTGGAAAGAGTGTTTAAAATGTTATTATATACCCATATAATATAAATAAATTTTACTTAAATATTAAGAAAAATATTTAATTACAAGAATATGAGGTCTGTCTAGATATAGTATCAAGTTTAAAAATCAAGTTTTAAAGTATAATCTAATAAAACACAGAGCTACATAATATGCACATATAAACACCTAAATAAAATATGGAAGGATATACACCAAAATGTTAAAAGTGGTTGCATATTGTTAAGAATTTAGGGGTAATTTTCAGTTTCATCTTCTTATTTATCTTTATTTCCTAAACCTTTTATTATAAACATATCATATACTAATAAGAAGAAATAAAATATATTTTTCTATAAGCCCTCATTTAAGTATGAATTAAAATTCTAGGCCTACACTTTGAAATTATATCATCTTTTTAATTTACTGCTTATTCACTTTCGGAGTCAGGGAATTTCTCATTTTCCACCCAATTTTTATTAACTCTGAGTGGTTTTAAAAGGAAGTTTACATTGAAAGTTAAGTGTTTGACAGATGGGATCTTTAATACTTCCATTATGAGCTTTGATAAAATGTTAATGGCATGTTAAATAGAGAAAAGTGAAGCTTATGGTAAATTATGCCAAGTGAAAAAAATAACACATCTAAATCACTAAACTCTGCAAGGCTGGCTAGCTGATATTTGGGGTTCAGTGCAAATGAAAATGGGGAGCCCTTCTAAATACAGGACCTGTGCAACTGAACAGGTCCCACCTGCAAAGCCAGCTCTTCTGATTTTCCCCCACACTATACACATAAGTAACTTGTCTAGAACATCATTTGTTTAGCCAGGTTTTATTGATTTTTTTTTTTTTTTAAAGGAGTTAATTGGTGTAAGAGAGAGCATTCAGTAGGAGTCAGGTAATTGTGGATTCTGATGCTTCTTGCTTCCTGATCTTGAGCCTGGCATCTCACCTCCCTCACTTCCTGCACTCTGGTTCCCAGTCATATTGTGAATCTTGCCACTACTACAAAGCCTCTATGTCAAGCATAATCTTCTCTGAGCAGTACTTCTTCTGTGTACCTGTCATTTATTGTACCCCTCTTCAAAAGTCCTTCAACTCCTATTGGGACTTTAAACCAATTTCACTATTTCCCTTTGTTTTCATGCTTCTTTATGCCCTCCCTTCTCTCCTCACCCAGCAGATACTAATGTTAGTTTGTTCACTACACTAACTTTTCCTCTCTTAGACCCTTAACTTTTTTTTTTGTTTGTTTGTTTGTTTCCTTTTTGCTCCCTTTTGGTGCTCAGCCAGCAAAACCCCAGCCCTGGTTAACTTACTATGGTTAACTGGTCACCTTATTCATTCCATGCCAACACCTGGCATGGAGAAACACTCGCTCATCTCATTTTAAAATTTTTAGTGTGTACTCAGTGCATTCTCAAAGACTCCTGGCAATTCTTATACGTTTCTCCAGTGGGGGAAACATTTTCTTATTCACTGAGACAACATAATATCTTATCATCTCTTCAAATTTACACACACAAACAAAGCCTCTCTCCCATATCTTCATTTTTAACTGTTAAATTCCCTTCATTTTCCTTGAAAAAATTCAAGCAGTCAAGTGAAAACCTCTTCACTTTCCTACCATCAGTTCTCCCTAGTTGGTGAGGGAATTTTTCATCCTTTCCAAGATTCTTCAATAACTCTTCACTTATGATGACCCAAACTCTGTACTCTCTTGTTCATTAAATGATTTTGTTTCTGTATATCTTTTCTCTGTTCTGCAATATCAGTTTCTTTCTTTTTCCCAAATACATTTAATACAGACAGACACAGACACACACACACACACACACACACACACACACACATAGCAGGGAAACATTGGGTCAAGTGACACTTGTGTGTATGTGTGTGTGTGTGTGTATCTATCTCTTAACCCAATATTTCCCTACTATCATTGTCTCATTATCTTGTTTTACCAAAATTCTAGGAAGTATTGCATATTTATTAACGCCCCTTTATTACATAATTTTCTTATTTTAACCTATATTATGTTTTCATCTCAACAATCATCTTAAAATTCTCTATCAAAATTATGGCAGGTTCCATTTTGCTATGTCAAAGCATCAGTCCTGACGTTTCAGGAATATTGGATGCAGCTGCCACTGCTTCCTTTATCAAAAATGTCAATTGTTTAACTTTCAACAAATTATACTCCTGTGCTCTCACTACCTTATTGTCTAACCTTTTATTTGTCTCCTTACTGGCTCTTCCTATAAATGTTGGATTATTTCGGATAGCCAGTGAACAGACCTCTTCTTAACCTCTCCTCCAGATTCATGGCTTTAAATATTACCTATCAATGGACAGCTCCCAAACCTGAAGCCAGGACCTCTCCACTAAATTCAGTGTACATAGCTAACTGTCCAGCTGGCATCTCAGCATCCCTGCTCCCTCTCCCTCAGAGCCAAAGCTGCTTGTACCATAATATTCCTCATCTTAGCTAATTGGTTCTATAATTTTCCTTATTATCAAGTCAAAACAGTCCTAAAGGCTTACTTAATTACTGTTTTTTTTTTCCTCAGCATCATCAGCAAGTCCTCGTCGAGCTTCCCTAAAAATATATTTCAAAGTCAATCAAATGTTACCACCTGCTCTGCTGAATCTGAGTCCAAACCTGTATCATTCCATGGCTGAACCACTGTAATAGCTTTCCCTTTCACCACACTGTGTTCCTCCAAGTAACCAGAGTAATATTTTTCAAAATATAAAGCAAGCCATATCATTTTTATTCTTAAAATCTTCCAAAAGGTGAGAATCACACCTTTTCTCCTCACCCACAAACCTTACACAATATCAGCCCTGCTCCTCTCTCCATTATCATATCCTCACATTGGATTTTCACACATTTCATTCTAGCCACACTGACCTTGATTTTCCTCAAAAAATCCAATCTGTTCCCACCTAAAGATCTTTATGATTGTGATTCTGTGTGGAGAAATCTTCCTTAGGTCTTTACATGATTGTTCTTTTCGTCATTTAAATACCTGCTCAGATGTTACCTCCTCAGAAAAATTTTGAAGTTTGTATGTCCACCTTATTTATGTTAGTAGCAATATTCCCATCACTCTTTTTCCTAATCCACAGCTTTGTCATTGTTTAGTTGCATTTATTATCATCTGAAATTTACATTATTTATTTGGTGACTTTGTTAATGTCTGTCTCTTCATTAGTGTGTGTGTGTGTGTGTGTATATATATTATATATATATATATATATATATATATATATATATATATATAGTTTCTATATTTAGTCTGCCTGGAATATTGTCTGGAATGTAATATATACTCAATGAAAATTTGGCATGTGTATGGGTTATGCCTGGCTTTACCGCTGGAAGAAAATGCAGTACATACATGTGGCCTGGATTGAATTCAGGTTTTAAAAACTGGCTCTACCCCTTTATGGTCAAGTGACTTTGAACTGCTTACTTAACCTCTCTGGATCTCAATTTTCACATCTGCTAATGAATATAAAGTTTTGTAATTACCTCATAGGGACCTTGTTATGAAATAATAAATTAATTTAAAGGTTAGAACAGCATGCATAGTTATTCTTAATATTTCCTTTGGTTCACATGACCGTTTCAAAAGCATTATTCATTGGTATCATCGTGGAAACTTATTAAAAACCTATCTTCCCAGTTTCAATGAGCCATTTACATTATACTAACAAGAACTTCTTTTATTATCTGCTTTGTTGTTGTTGTTAAATTGCTAGATGTCAGTCATCCAGAGGTAAAGAATTTATGGTCCTTGCACTATGCATTTACAGCTTATATTTTTTCTATATTTAATCTCTATAACATTTAATTTAGTAATGAACTGATCACATTTAATAACATCCCTGTGCAGTGGATCTTGCAAATTCCATTTTACATAGTAGGATGCTGAGGCTCAGACATTAAATCACCTGTCATTACAAAAATCAGACAAAAATCAGGGAAAAAAAGGTCTTAGAATGTGTGAGGAATGGAGTTAGGATTTTAGTTCCACATCCAACAGAGCCTAGAATCCAAGCTCATTATCACTGAGATAAGACTTCCCTCAAACTTAAGCT